AGCAATTGCTCCCATTAGAATTGGCTTGATTTGAACACTCACTTACAACCTTATGGCAGGTTCTATGCTCAACGAGGAAGTGGGAAGCCAGAGACCAGGTCTTTGGGTTTAAAGCTATGAAGACCTCTTCTATTCATATGCCCTTTTCCAAAGAGGTGTAAGCAAGTGCTTCCTTAGTGTGTGGGGAGGCTTCAATATCAGGAATATGCAGGGAGATGCTCTAACAGTGGACAAGGCCTGATGATTATTAGGAGGTATACATTTGGTGAGACCATAGACCATGATGGCAGTCTACAAGTAGACAAAGAGGCACAGAAGTTTGCAGAGGAACAGAACTAAACGTAGCAGATTGGAATGGGTAATTGAATAGAGATATGTAGTAATATGGCAAATTATGAAGGCTGAAGTGGTTGAAGTAATAAAAGCGAGAGCAAGAGGTGGGATGGAAGAAGGATAACAGATCTGCAGTAGGAAACTGCTGAGACGGAAAAGATAGAAGTAGGAGATAGAGAGAAGTAGAGGGGAGCAGGAGATGGAGAATCCCAGAGAAGGACTGAAGACAAGGCAAACTGAGATGAGGAAGAAGGAAAGAAGACAAGGAAAACAAAGGGGAAATTTTTGCTCTTGATAACCACATGTCTGGAAAGATAAATGGTCTCAGTTTGGGAATCGAGACACCTTATAACGCTTTAAGCAAATGAATGATAGCCTAAAAAACCAGCACTCAACAGATTTAGGCTGCAATTTTGTAGAGACTGTAAGTTTAAGCAAGGGAAACACTGACAACCAAAACACCTTAAGACAGAAATTGGGATGCTGTGAAAGGAATTTCAAAGGGAGTCTGTATGCCAATTTGGAAGAACGCAATCGATGATAAGTAAGTGGTAGGAATGCAACGGGCCGGGGCGGAGCGATACACTCCCCGTCCCCGTATCCCGAAGGCTCAAAAGCCTCATCCCCGCCCCGATCCCCAGCGGGGGAACCGATCACTCCCCGTCCCCGTCCCCGTCCCTAAAGGGATCGGGTTTCCCCGAACCCGAAAAATCCCGAGCTTTTTTTTGAATTTTGGTTCAAACACAACAACAAATCATATATTATCACTATGTTTTGCCGATCATCACAAATCAATGTGTACACGAGAACACAAATCAGATCATTACACAGATTTAAATTTAAAAAAAAAATTATTCTGGAAAAAAAAAATATTGTTTCTAACAACAATTATGTTTCATCATCATCAATAAATCAATATTTTGTACACAGATCAGATCACACACAGATTTAAATTTTTTTTAAAAAAAAAATTTGATTCTCAAAACAATACCAGAGAGACAGATCTCGAGGACCATTATCAGATTCACACACAGAGGAGCGAGAGATACATCTGAGTTTAGATCTAACAGATTTGAAGCGACGACAGTGACCAGGCGCCGAGATCGACGTGGCTGTTGTGGCGGGGGTTCGGGTGGTGTACAGACCTTCTCGACCGTGGCGGTGGCCATGAGAATAGAGAGAGACGAAGTGAAGAGAGGAGAGAGAGAGAGAGGGGGGTCGGGCCAGCGGTGGTGGTGGTGGTGTCACCGTTTCGGGTGACTTGTGAGAGAAGTGTGACAGAGAGTGGGGAGAGAAGAACGAGAGTTGAGACGAGAGTGAGGTGAGAGAAGAACAAGGAGACACTGAAGGTTGAGAGAGTGAGATGAGCAGTGACGCTCGACTCGGAGTGAGTGTGATTCGTACTCGTCTACCTCATGCTAGTCCGGTCACAGCTCTGACCAGCGTAGTGCTCTCCCATGCCGTCTCGTATGACCAATATTGTATCAGATGGTGATCGTACTGTAGACTGTAACTCCGGGGAAGCTTCGGGGAAATTTCGAGCGTCCTGTTCTGGCGGCAGGGCCGGGGCGGGGCGGGGGCGGGGCTGGGGCTGAGAAAATTAATCCCCGTCCCCGGCCCGAAAATCAATCGGGATGCATGTTTCAATACCCAGCCCCGAACCCTTACGGGGAATAATTCAAGGAAAAAACCATTTATTCGGACGGCGGTCCGGGTTCCCCGTCGGACCGGGTTAATATTGTCTATCTCCTAATAGTGGCACAAGCAATGGCATCAAAACCAGTATGGAGAGGAACACAGAGATCCCATTCAGTTTCTAAAAATTCTTTAGAGAGGTAGAATTGTTTTTCTGCTAAGCTTTAAAACTCTCAAGAACTTATCATTACACTTCACTCTTTTGTAAGCTAAAGGATTACACCAAGTGAATCTCTAAAAGTCATCACAAAGAGACATAATGTTGTAAACAGAAGTGGAAGAAAGACCACAACATCACTATGTATTAAAGCAAGAGGTTTATTGACAGTGAAATTAGACAATTTGGAAAAGGCATCGTGATTCTTTGCAACACAACAATCAACCAGTCTTGCAGATGAATTGAAGCAGAATTCTTACGCTGTAATGAGGCCTAGTGCTTTGATTTCAACCTACTAGATACCTAACGACGATGCTAGCAGACTAGCAGTAGCGAGGAACTAGAATGCACTTGTAAGCTAACTGGTGTGTTATGCTGCAGTAATAGGAGTAGATAGGCAGCTGAGCAGTAGTGAAAAGAAATGGTACAAGCCATGAAGGTATAGGAGCCTTTGTGAAGAATTCTCTTCGTAAACTTGTCCTGAATCACAAAATGAGTATTCATCAAAGCGATAATGCAATGTTATCCGGAGCAATTTTCGAACACGAATAAGATTGGATGATAAAGATTCTATATGAAAGCCATTGTTAAGCTTAAAGAGATGATGAGTGTGGGAAGAGACCTTACTTAGGTGTTGAATAGAAATTAGATATTACCATCCCTATAGATCTGCTCGGAGCCTTGATAGGGCTGATAAACATTGAGATGGCTAAGTCTTTGTCATGTGATCTGTAGCGCAGAATTCCAAGTTACCAAGACCTGAAGCAGAAGATGATGATGGAGAACTGAAGTATGGTGAGACCATCAACATACTTTATCGCAACTCTCAGCTATACTTATAGTAGGTTACGCCTTTGTCGTGCAAGTGCTTCATTCGTGTAGTCATGCGTCTCTCAGTCATTTCTC